CTGCAGCAACTCCGTATATGAGTCGCCAACTCTACCGACTGAGCTAACCGGGCGTCCAGGAGGACAGTATGTTTATAACTGATAGTCAGAGGTGTGTACAGGCTGCAAAGTGCCGCCCACAGAAACAGAATTTATGGTTGGTTTGGATATAAAGGCTCCGTGGCATGATGCTGTGCTGCTAGGGGATACGTTGACATGTAAACGCACTTTATTTTGTAGCCTAATCAATAGGAAAGGGGGGAGAGGGGATGAGGGCAGCAAAGGGTCACAGGTCATCGTTCATGGGCGTCCCTCAGTTTCCCAGTGCTCTTTCCAGCCCTGGTTGAAATGCACATTGACAGCATTGTAATATCTCAGGATTAAACTTCTTTTAGAGAGAAGGGTCAGTAAAATGCACCTGGAGCTGCCCAGAGTGTCTCACAAACACAACAAGTATGGAAACTAATGAAGCTGCAAGTCAGACAACACCCGTGGTTTGGGGCCTTTCTGATACACCGTGTATCTCCAGCACCCTGCGCCATCAGTGTGGGCACCAGGATAAATAATGCAAATGGTCTTTCTGGGTTATCACGCTCAACCGAAGACACTTCAGCACATTTAGAGCAAATACAAATTTAATTCGTGGGTAAACCTTTTATGACCCAGTTTCATTTTCCATGTGTTTACAGGGATGCTGGGTTTTTAATCACGACGCGACCGAAGGTTTTATTTCCAATAAAACTTCATTTGAGTAAAGATGTTTACCTTCAGTGAAACATTTTTTCCAAAGGTGACGTCTCCAGACACCGTGAGGTGGTCGAGCTCCAGCATGTCGGGGATGCTCTCGAAGCGGTTCACATACTCCTGAACCTGAACACAGACGGACATAAGAGGGAATTTGGATTTGGATCCTTTGGAAAGACATTTAAACCTACTGAATCATGTTTTGAAGTCTAGTAAAGAGCCCCGTTATTCCAACGATGGGAAATAGCATTAGTATGATGTAATTGTTAACCACACAGTTTGAGATAATTACCATAATAAAATCAGAACTGTGTCACCAGATTGGACTAAATAAGACAGAAAACAGTTGTGTTTAGAGGGAAATGTTGTAATGTGGAGACTTTACAGCAAAGTGAGGCAGCGACAGAAAAATGACGCCCAAGATCTTTATCTCTTCTGTAAGGCGAAGAAAAACCGCTAACACTGCATCAGAGCCCAAAAGTGACACAGGAAATGAACACATAAATGAATACAGTAAATAAATCTGAAAGATGAATGAGGAATATAGAAACAATTAAGAAAATAATTTATATTTTATCTATGATTTGTTTATCCATTTACTTTTCTATGAAACAAGTTTCTTATTTATTTATTTCTCATGTCACTTTTGGACAACGAAAGCCTACTGTAAAGATACAAAATAAATACTTAAAGCTTTTTAAAAACAAGTCTTTCCGCACATTGCTTTTACAAGGACATTTTGCTCGGGAATTTTTTTGTATAGAATTTCCCCTCCATTAGATAAAACTGAAACTACCTGTATTGCTGAATGGGGGGGAAGTGGTACATTACTTTACATTATATTTTCTTGTGATTCGGGGGAAATTTAATGTGAGATGTTTAGTTTTACTATTGAACCAGTGACGGTTCTGAAAAAGGTCCACATAGCACCTTAAATCTTTACAGGACTTCCCATGCAGTCCAAAATAAGGACAGCAGACATGTTCTTTCCCCACTGCTATGATAATGACCTTGGTGAAGGAGCTGCCCAGTTTGACATGCGGCGTCGTCGGGAACTCTCTCTTGGGGCTCATGGTGAGAGAGCCGGCCTCCAGGCTGTACAGGTTGGACATAACCAGCAGCAGGTCTGATGTGGTCTTGACAGGCAGGAAGCGGCTGCGAGGTACGTTGATGCCCAGGGCGTTGTCGAAGCATTTGATGGCTGCGCCGACTGCAGTCTCCAGCTGGACGACGTTCTGCCCGCCGTCGAGCGTCTGAGAAGAATCAAAAGAAGAGAGGAGACGTGTCGGCTTGTTGTGGAAAAAGTAACTCAATTCTTTAAAATGTCTTTGCCTGCGTGTTTGCAGCAACGCGAAGAACAAGAAGTGTTTGCAATTAATGCTCTGATTCATATCGCCAAGAGGAGGTTACTGTTCTCTCCATCTCTCACTGCATTAATCAACCACAGGCAACAAAACTAACACTACAGAACAAACAGCCCATATTTCTACCAAAAGCCAACTGAACATTTAGGTGAAACAGAAAATAGCAGAATCATGTAGTTACACAGCTTATGTTACTCTTCTGTACTTTACTACACAGCCATGCAAATAAAACTCATTTAAATTGCAGCAGCTTCCAAATATTTTAGCACAACATCTGTGACTATCTGTCGTCTCGTTTGGTTAAAACTTTGTTTCTCAAAAAAAGTCAAATGTGTAGGACCTGCTGGCACAGTTTTCAGTTACATCAGCAGGTAGCTCTGGCCGTGAGCATGGCTGTAGGGATGGCAATGTCCGTGTGTCTGTCCAACACTTCGGTCCAGACTAAAACATCTCAACTATTACTGGATGCAATGTAAGTTCTTCTTCTACCACCAACATCAGGTCAAACTCTTAAAATACCCAGAAAACTAATGACGTTCAGCTCTCCTTTGTGTTTGGTCCTAATTAGCAAATGTTAGCGTGCTAACAAGATAACCTAAGATGGTGGACATGGCAAACCTTACACCTATCACATATTGTGAGCATATTAGCATTTAGCACAAAGGACCACTGTGCCAGTCTCACAGAGCTGGCTGGAGACTCTCAGACTAATGTTTCCTGAAACCACAGAGGTGAGTTTGATGAAACTAAAATTAGACTCTGAAAGGTTTCACAGGACAACATGTGATAATATAATGATCTGGGTCTCATGTATAACTATCAGAAGGGGTTATATAACATGCTTTTATTTTAAGTGTCTCTCACAATCACTAGTGCACACAGTTTTAACATGTATGGGGCTACAGTACAGTATAATATGAACTCAGCAGGTTTAAGAGTGCTGCACTCTTACCTAGATGGGACCAAAACACTTATGTAAATCCACACTGCTCTGCACAGTTATCACCGGTTACATAACACTTGCTATGTCACGGTGTGCGATTCTGTAGCCAAGGGCTGGAAAATTACATCTATATGCCAAGAAAGGCAATAATTAGGAATCAGGCTGAGGTTCAGCAGTGAATTTATTCTGCTGGTTGCAGATTTGCACACCCTGAGGTGGTGCTTTTCCACTGGGGGGTGGGCGCAGAGGCACACAACCAAAATAACATCAAGTCACATCAACTCAAATTTGTTTGCTGCACTGCTTTTAACAGGACCGCTCTGTCACCAAGAGCTTGGAGGGTAATAAAGGAGAAACATGTGCAGGGAAGAC